CCTCCACCCCCCCTCGACATCCCCAAGCCTCTGGGCTTTGTTCTTGGGACCCCCGACCCCGCGATTTCTCGCCCAAAAACGACCGATACCCCCCACCTCGCCTCCCCCCCCCCCCCCCCCTCGACATCCCCAGGCGTCTGGGGTCTGTTTCTTGGGGACACCGACCAACGATTTCGACCATAAACAGCCGATACCCCCCACTTCGCCCCCACTGCCTCTCACTTCCCTCGACACGACATAACCCAGCCTCTGGGCTCTGTCTTGAGACCCCCCTACGCGGACTTTCTCGCCCAAAAAACGGACGATGCCCCATTCCCCCCCGCCCCCCCTCCGCTTCCCCCCCTCCCCGCCCGCTCGCCTCTCCCCCCCTTCGTCATCCCCAGGCCTCGGGCCCTGTTTTGGGGTTCCTGTCACCGCGATTTCTCGCCCAAAATCAACCCATACCCCCCCTCCCCCGCCAGTCTCTCAGCTGGACCCCCTCCTGGCCTGGCATCCCCAGGCCTCTGAACTCTGTTCTTGGGACCCCCGACCCCGCGGTTTCTCGCCCAAAATCAACCGATACCCTCCACCATGCCCCTCACCTGGACCCTCCCTGGCCTGCGCCCTCCCTCGACACCCCCAAGCCTTTGGGCTCTGTTCTTGCGACCCGCGACCCCACGATTTCTCGCCCAAACTCACTCATACCCCCCACCTGGCCACCACCCCCTCCGCGACACCCCCAGGCCTCTGGGCTCTGTTCTTGGGGCCCTCGACCCAACGATTTCTCGCTCTAAAACGACCCACACCCCCCACTTGGCCACAACCTCCCCTCGAGGCCCCCAGGCCTCTGGGCTCCGTTCTTGGGACCCCCGACCCTACGATTTCTCGCCTAAAAACGACCCACACCCACCCACCTCGCCCCCACCTGGCAACCACCCACCCGCCCCCCCCCCCTTCCCACGACACCCCCAGGCCTTTGGGCTCTGTTCTTGGGACCCCCGACCCCACGATTTCTCGCCCAAAATCGACCAATATCCCTCCCCCCCCCCGCCTCCCCTCCACCCCCTCTCGACACCCCAAGCCTTTGGGCTCTGTTCTTGGCACCCACGACCCCACGATTTCTCACCCAAAAACGACTCACATTCCCCACCTGGCCACGACTGGCACGTGCGTCCATCGTCCCTCTTGTCGGCTGTGGCAACAGCTATCCAGTCTTACGCACTTTCGTCACTGACTTATGGCTCCGTTCAGCGACTTCCCTCCTTTTGCGCTCTTGGCCAGCACAGCACACGTTGCACCTTTGCTTCCCATCCGCCTTCTGCGTCGTTCGCCCGGCCAACCAGCTGCTGTATTCTGATGTATTCTTCTCTGCCAAAAGCGCCTTTGCATTCAGCGCATTTCCACTTCCCGCGCTGCAGCTTCGCGTCGTCGATGCATCGATTGCACTTGCGGTGATGATCTGCCCTGCCGGCCCACATCTTTTCAGAGAAACACTCTTTCTGTTGCGCCTTCTCGCACACTACACAAGTTCTCACGTCCTCCCTCCTTGCAGCGACGCACTGCTTGCACTTACGATGCAGATCAGCCGCGCCGCCCCACGTCCGATGTGAAAAACACTCATGCCGCTGCGCCACCTTGCACACCACACAAGTTTTCATGTTCTTCCTCGCCGACTTGTCCCGCCCTGCAGCGACGCACTGGTTGCACTTACGATGCAGGTCAGCCACGCCGTCCCACATCCGATCTGAAAAACAATCTTGCCGCTGCGCCACATTGCACACCACACAGGTTTTCATGTCCTTCCTCGCCGACTTGTCCCGCACTGACGCTGCAGCGTTGACGCATTGCGTACATTGCATCGACGCTTTCGGCGAGTGAGTCAACATGTACTCTGAAAACTCGGTCCTCCTTTTTGGAATGCCGCAGTTGGAACACACGCGCTCTTTTGCCTCTTTGGCACGGGCCTTCTCTTCCTCTCTCTGCAACTTCTTACAAGCCTTGCATGTGGGTTCCTCGTTGATAATAATATCCGCTTTGGCAAATTGATCTAGTAACTTCTCCTCGCCGCAGCGCGAACACTTCAGGTGCCTCTTCGCCTCTTCGCAGTCCCGGCACATTCCCCCTTTGCATCGGGCGTTCCCTGCCTTCTCCCATTGCAAATCCACGAACGCATCCTCGTACTTCCGCTTCTCGCATACGTAACACTTTCGCCTTTCGGGACAGTCCACGCAACGCCGTGACGTCAGCTTGGAGCTGTGGTGCTGCGACGTGTGGAAAGCATCCTGACCCTTCCACAGATAGCACTCCATACACTGCCACGGCGTGCCAATGCTCTTTTTGCCTTCCAAGCACAACTTGCACACGCGGAGACCGTCGTCCCGGCTCCACTGCCCGAGAGCGAACTGGTTCTTGTACTTCACCGCCGAGCACAGTGCGCACTTCCCTGCAGGCATGAACTCCTTCTCGATTGCATCCCAATCCATGGGATCTCCCCGCAACGACTGTAAGAGCAATCCGGGACCCTTCCGCTCTTTCTGAGTGTACGGCGCGCGGTCGAAAGGCCGAAATATCAGCATGTCTTCGCGGCGCCGCACGCGCGTCAGAGCAACATAACTCGACAACGGCGACGTGCCCCCGCCAATCCTCAGATCCACGATGACACCTTGTTTGAAAGTCTGGCCCTGAGCTGAGTGGGCTGTCACTCCAAACGCTGGGGCCAAAGGAAACTGCCGCCGCTTCACTTTCAGACGCGGATACGGCCGGCCTTTGTCCACGAACCAGTCTTTTCTCTGCGGGCTCACTGGGTACAGGCCCGGCGTTCGGAGCCCCGGGATCGTCCACTTGCATGGGATTACGTTCCCTGCATCATCGAGACCCTCGTCGAAAAGGACGAATATCACTTTCGGCGTCTTCTGCAAGATGGTCTCCCCTCCTCGGGACACGCGACCCGCTCCTTCCTCGCCATCGCACACCCATGAGTGCACGGTCCCAACGCGTCCGCGGAGCAGATACTTGTCCTCGCTGCGATCTATGTGATCTGTGAGGGCCACGGGCATCCCCTCCGCGATGGGCAAAAACCCGTACAGGTCCCCGCTCTCCTTGTCGTGGCGCTGCAGCCAGGCCATTTTTTGGCTCGGCAAATCCGGCCGCTCGCGCAGCGCGTCGGGCGTGGGGGTGTCGCGTGCAGGGATGTACACCATCGGCTTCTCGTGCAGTCGGGCATACTGCGACGCTCGGAGCTTGTTCACCTCATACTTCACGTCGTTGTTTGGGAACACTCCTGGAGCACACCGAAACTTCGCAGAGTGCACGCGCGGGTCATCTGGACATGCGATGACGAGACGGCGCCGTTCGCGCTCACGCCTGCACTCCCCACATTCCTGCCTGCGGATGTCTTTCAGGGTCACTGATCGCTGACGGCGTGCTCCGACGGCTGCCTCCTCCGAGACCCCTGCGCCGACACTCAAAGCCTGACATCTCGAGTTCCCACATCCCACCTGACCATGGAGCCAACTCCCCGGGACTCCAGTATCACGCCCGTGCAAAAAGGCATGCGTGTCTGCCGTGAGCGCTCCTCTGCGGAACTCCTCTTGCGCGGATTTCAGCCAGGCGTCGTCGCAGCGCTCACACTCCACTAGCTCTGTTACTCCCTGCACGCCCTCTTGACCACCACCCCACAGGAGAGCTTGCCCATGTAGCACTGGCTGGAGCGAGGTATACTTCCGAGCCTCCGCGATGCGCTCTGTTGGCACGTCTGCAA